GTCATCATATCAAACCGGGCACATCTATTTGTGCAACATGAGAGACAAGACATGGAACTCTGTTTGATGATGATCTCTGAAGCTTCACCACGTAAATCTCGTGTAGCGAGTCGTGGTACGTTGTTGCGTGGATACAAGCGAGAAGATTCTAGTCTTGAAAATTGTTTCCAATTATATTGCATCAAGGAGAATTCTATGTCATGTGTCTCATGTGGCGCCCTGCTCCTGATAGATGTGTCCAATTATATATGACCACATTATCCACTCTTCATGAGTTCAAATTCATAGTTTCATCAAGAATCATAAACTACAAGAGAAACATCATAGTGTGTAGGCAACTCACACTCGACGGGACCTTCCAGGATAGCTAAGTTCGAGCTTTATACATTTTCCACATATCTTACAAGTTACAAGCTTTCTCTCCATCTCTAATTAACATCATAGTGCTCGATGAACCTGTGGAATCGCCTGTTCGGGGTTTCTCTAAACTACATTTACAAGTCAAAAGACTTAATTAGCGGACGATTTGATACATCAAGTACAAACAAAAATAGACGTAAAGATAAACCATACACAAGTTAACCTAACTTCTGATCTCCCCAAACGGCAAGAGCAAGAGCGAGCAAGCCTCGATATTGAGTGCCTGCCAAGTTATAAATGCAGAGCCGACCTCAAGAAGGCGCATCTATCTTCGGATAGTGTGGTGATATAAAACAGACTCATCTTTCTGTACATGCATGATGAGAAACAAAACATGGAACACTTGAATTGCAATATTCTTGACATACAAAACTAAAATTTGACTACATCGTCCTAAAACCAAACAGATCACAAGATTCTGAAGCAGAACAACACAACAACAAAATTAATTGACCAGAGTTGATCAAAATTTCATAGAAAAATATTTTTGCAAAAAATCATGTTGGACTGGGCCTTTGTCTATTGGATTTCGAAAATGACAAACCCTTAAATAAAATAAGTATTCAGCCACCAAAATTGGGCTTTAATAAATTATTTCTCTGTAGCAGACTCCAAAAACTAACCTCCATGGTTTTGCACACTATGCTATTTTGGTTGCTCTAAACTCAATTCTTTCGACCAACATCTCAATGGTTTGGAACATGCACATCGGCGTGGCTCGACGGTGGTGTGATGGGACATTGATGGCTGTCCTGTTCCCCATGGTTATGATCCTAGTCGTGTCCGCCCGATTATAGGTTTGGTCCTGCTCCTGTCACCATCTATGCCATGGGCAACATGAAAAACATCTCTTGTCGACAAAAGATAGCCATCTCTTCCACTGACGTCTTTATGGTACACCACGACTTCGGCACAAATGTTTCATGCTTTGAAGTTCTGGAGAATTGATCATCCACCATGATGCTGATATCCAATGCTGAGTTGTCGTTTCATAAACATGTTCAAGATATTGAAGGCTGCTTAACTTGAGGAGAAGGCAAATTTGGTTGCTCTACCTTTGCCAAGTTCACCAAGCATCTCACCGGGTTCGAACACGAAAATCAGTTGCGGGACGCACAACCGGTTCTACGATTCTTAACCCAAGAATTCCAAACTTTGGTTGGTGCTAAAACCTTGTAGAAAATGAAGATTACTCTTGTTGGAATTTTAAGCTTTTCTAAACTTTATTTTGGAGATTCTGCCATTAACTCCTTTTTCTATCTATTCGCGAAAAAAAACCATTTTCCCAAAAAAATGAAGAATTTATATTCCCTTAACTATTTTTATACACACTGAATAATGACGTGGAGCCATGTGTGTTTAGAATACGACAGCACAAGGAACCAATCATGTTCCTCTCTCAATTATCAAATCCATTATCGTCAATCTTTGACCTCACGCAACACAACCTTACGTGAATCACACGCACCATACGAAGCTAGACCCACCGTCCGATCATCCCACCTAAGTCTCATCCCATGGTTCAACCGTCTGATGAAACCTTCTCTTTGTCCTTCACAGTAACCTAACCATTTAGCCACAGACACAGACTCCTTATCCTCCCAATACCCACCAGATTCATCAAAACTACGTCGTTTTAGACCCGGTTCGGCCAAATACTCCACCATCCCGGCCACAAGCTCCGGCGAAGCTCTTGACTCATTTCCCCATAGCCATATCCTAACCATAGAATGTCGCAATGCAAATTTCACGGCGTTACTAAGGTCACTTCTTTCCACTAAAGATGAGCTTAATCTGATCACATACTCTCCATGTCTTGCACCCGAAGTTACCGAGAACCTCTCGGCTCCATCACTGAATCGGACGGTCACGTGGTTTACAGGCTTCCGCAGACGATGAGGAACACCCTCGTAGAGAAATCTCTCAACAAAGAAGCTAGTATCGAGCAAGACCCGCACCGCAGTATCATCAGATTTGAAGAAAAGGGAGAATCTTTTCCCGGAAGGAGAATGTTCAGCTTCATTGATGATTGTTATGGAGAAGCCTTTTGATGCCTCGTGGTTTGCCCATAAGGAGATTGCTCCGACGAGAAATACAGAGAAAAGCCGTAGAATAATACCTGAAACCGATTCCGATGCTGAGCTTTTGGTGGTGGGTTTGGCTAGGAAAGGTTGAAGAAGAGTCTGTTCCGCCATTGAAGCTATGGAAAGATGTCTACATAGAGACTAGAGAGAGACAGGTAACGGTATTTGTAATGGTAACTAATTGAGACAGACTTATAACGAATATGTTGTAATAAAACAACTAAACACTGATCATGTCTTTCACATGGACAGGAGGATGTACACGCAAAAGGATGATATATACACACATTACTGATAAGAAGTTCCCGAATAAAGTATATAACGTAATGTACTGAAAGGGATGTTTTTAGATCGGGTTTTTTTTTTAGCGTGAAGTAATCCCTAAAAACCGGTTACTTTGTTCCGAGGAAAAACAAGCCTTCATACTGTACATCTGCTTCTTCGGTAACCGCGCCATATATAACTGTACACTTACCTTTGACGGAGGGTTAGAGTTCTCAGCTACTTGTTTTAGTGGGGGCTTTAAGAGGACTCTTCTGCTATGTTCTTGGAGTTAACGTTCTCTTTCTGATTCTCGATAAGATCCATCGTGTAAGACCAATCTGGATCAGGTGCGGTTATGTTCCAAATGCTTGAAAATAGTTGCTCCTGTATGATCCAAAATACAAGGTGAAATTGGTGGACATAAGGCAATCAAGTTTTTGAATCCATCTATCAAAACAAAAAGAAGAAAAGAGTTTGTATCTAATAACCTACCTGATCATCGGAGTCTTGACGTTCGTCATGGTGGGAGACTTCTGGAAACAAATGCTTTTCTTCCTTGATAGGACTTGGATTCTGCATGTATGAAGCAAGAGCAGACTTTCCTTGGATCTCTGCATATGCCAATGAAGCAACTTTCCCACTGTTGAATTTCTCCCATATTTTACCTTTGAAGGTCTGCAGAAACAAGCAGAAACACATTACTAGTCTCGACTGACATATCAGTTTCGGAAAACAATAGCGAAGAGAAAGGTAAAAAAACCTGTTGGAAGGGAACAATGTGCAATGGAGAGACCATGTTGACAAAAGCGTGACCCATGTTGCACTTATTCTATATCCCAGAAGTAACCTAAATGTCAGTAACTTCTCGAGTCATATTAAAGCATCATTGATTCACTCTCGTATAGTATAGTACCTTAAAGTCGATAGGTAAGTACAGAAAGTCGTAGTCTCCCTTGTGCTTTTCGTCGATTTCAGCCACCAGCATTTTGTAAGTATACCTTAGAAAACAAAAACATTTGAGTGTTAAAAGGTTGTCAAAAGATTTTAAACTGACATCAACAACGCGCTTACTTGTTTGGGATGTTTTTAATGATTAATGTAGTCCGGATATCATCTCCATTAGCAATTCTATCCAAGTCAATATGATATCTCCCACCATCTATGAGCTGATTCCGATTGTGACACTCGAGCTGTGGGATCTTACTCTGCTCGGGAAAAGGTTCAGGCCTTAGTGATTGGAATCCTCCTCTACTCCCACCAAAAGGTACCGCAGGCATTGAGGACATCTCAAAGCCGCTAAAATCCCGTTCATTATGGTTCCCTGGAATACTAACACCAGGGTTTGACTTTCCATGAGCATTGATATAGTTTTTGTTGGTTCCCATATCGCCAAATCCAACGGGTATTAAGGACGATGTCTCTCGTGATCCCGGGTACCGATTAATTTGGGTATTAAAATGAATGCTTGAGGGAGCAGAGCCCACATGATGCTGGTATTTTCCAAGCAATGAACCTTGTCTCTCAGCAAATGGAAAACCACTCCTGACAGCGAAAGGACGTTCACTAGATGATGATGACGACGAAGCTCCATTGTAACCAGGATAATTCATATGCTGAGGAGGGCTTCCCCAACGATAACGGTTATCAGATGAAGTCCCGAATCCCGAGGAGTGTGGAGCAATAAACCTCATGGAGTTGGAAATTCCACCTGCTAAATGCTCTGGCAATGAATGAGGTTGCCCGTATGCAAAGTTGTGCATCAATCCCTTATTCAGAATAGCTTGGTTTGGATGATTCAATATCCCTTGGTCATTACTGACTGGTGAAAATCCATGAAAGCTAGAGTGATGAGTAGGGAGAATTGAAGCCAATCCCGGGATATTATCTGAGTTAAACGGCCTGACGATTCCTAGACCATGTGGCTTCGGAAAGGCATGTGAAGGAGAGCCCTTCACTGGACTGCCAATCGGCCAGTTACCTGTTAAGTAGATTCGATGAATTCCGGACAAGGCATGTTAACAAATGGAGAGCAAACTGATCAATACAAATTACCTGGTGGAGAATTGGCAACCTGTGAGCCTAATTGATTGAAGAAATTTGTAACTTCGTTTCTGTCCAAATCTTGACTTGTTGACAGGACCGACCTGCATACAAATAGTTCAAGTTCAGTACTGTGTATGCAAGATAACTCAATTCTTGGAAATATACAAATAGCTGCAACTCACACTCGACGGGCCCCTCCAGGACGGCTAAGTTCGAGCTTTATACATTTTCCACCTATCTCAGTTCTATTCATTGCTTTCAGGGCTGTCTCTGCATCTCTAACATCATAGTACTCAATGAATCTGTGGAATCTCCTGTTTGGGGTTTCTCTAATCTGCATTTTCAGAAGCCGTCAAGAGTTAATAAGCGGATTATTTGATACATAAATACACAAAAGAGAACAAGATATTAGCCATAAAGATAAACCATTGCAATAAACAAACATAAACCACCTCTCTTATTTCACCATAGGCACCGAACAGCTGAAGGAGCTCGTCATTCGATACTGTTGTGTCCACATTAAAAATCACAAGAGTTCCTTGATTCATATCCTTCTCTGACGGATTTTCCTATCATGTGATTAAACTGATGATTAGAAAAGTGCTTAAGAAAACTGAAGCTTCAAATCATGAATATTTTACGTAATCCATACTTTAGGAATGGAAAAATGAATGTCCAGTGTCCTTTTTCTCAAGAGTGTGTTCTGTAGTGCACGCATTGCGGCATGAGCAGCTCGTATATCGTAGTAGGATATCATTACAAAACCTCTGCTTTTGCATGCAGTGTACAAACTTCTGATCTCCCCAAACGGCTGGTGACAAATACAAATCATATCAGCAATAGCAAGCAAGGCTCGATATTACCAAGTTATAGATGCAAAGTGAGCCTCAAGCCGGTGAATAAATTCAACTTTTCGGTTGTGAGAAAGAAAAAAAAAGGAAGCAGACAAGTGTGCATTACCTCAAAAAGGGCGCTTAACTCAGAATCCTCGACACTGCTGTTGATATTCCTAACAAATAACGTCCTTGAAGGATGTTCACCGTTTGGATGTTCAACCGAAACTCTGCCAGACATATTGGGGCGTTTGCGAGGAACAAATGCATTCGCAGCACCGCGATCAGATATCTGCATCCCTGATGCATCAACACCATGATTATCCTGGGATTCAACATCCAATTCCATACCCCCTCCTGTGCAAAAAACATCACACTCTTCGAGATCTTCAACTTCATCAGGCAAACTGTTAAAATTAAGCTCATCGATGAGGCCAGGAAGGAGCTCATTTTCATCCTCAGGCAGCAAGATTTCTAAAGAATCGGGTTCGACATCTTCAAAAGAATCCTTCTCTGAGTTTCCTACGCCAAGTTTGTTCGGATTAGGTGAGCTATCATCAAGGGAGAGCCAACTATCTGAATCAGTCATATTCACTGCAAGTTTGTCAAAACTAAAAGATATTAGCACTTTCTTCAAGTAAACCAAGCGTAAAACTGATAGACGCTATGACATACGCTTTTCATGAAAAAGCGTGGGCAATGAGCTTGAGAACATGCTCAAATCATTTGCAGAACGATATCCACCGCCTCCGCTAAAGGTTTCAGATGATCTACTCATCAAAGATGGCATGTCCACTACATTCAACATAGCCAAAAATGATTACACATCAAAAGAATTTGTACAAAACACACAAAAATGGTGATTTCCATCAAAACATAAAAAAGGAAACAAGAAAGTTTTATTTCTATACCAACAGATAGTGATTCCTTGGGTTCTAGCTCCATCTTTTTGGCTTCTGCAACTACAAACAAAACAAGAAACACCATGTCATGTGCTTCCAAGCAAATCCTGCAATTTGATTTCTAATCTTGCATCATAAAGCAGAACAGCTACTACTTAAGACCATTAGCTCTCTCAATCACACATGATATTACTCGTCCAGACATAAACAAACATCTGTCTAAATATTCCAAACAGGAAGAGAATCTAAACAAAACCATAGTTGGTCAACTCGATGAATCACAAAAGTTTTACTTGAGAAGCTTTTGCTGCTTGTGGCGACAAAACAGCATCAGAGATCAATAAACTCAAATTCAAAGCTTAAAACTCGGAACATCGCAAAATTAAAAACCTCTGAAACATCGATTTGAAGAAACTGTGTAATCATCGAAACAAAAGAGTAGCAACTGATTTTCTCACTAACAAATCATCCTCATCATCTACTACTATTTGAACAATCATCATCATCAACTACTACTATTGAACCACATAACAATCAAACGAAGGTAATAACAAATATCATAAACCGATTGAAGAATTTAAGC